CTTAATCTACTATCTCTACCCCAACGATCTACTGGTCTTGCGCAGAGATTTCCATTACTCCCGCGCACACCGGTAGGGGGCCCACAGCGCCCCAAAATCCACCAGTGTGGGATTTCGCGCAATCACTTGACTCTGAAAAGCTCACATATCCCTGCGGTGAGCGCTGTGGTCGCCGCAGACTGGCTCCGACTTGACGGCGGCATGGAGACGTGATGCCTCCATGCCGCCGTCGAGTCAAAATCTTCATGCGAGTCGATCTTTGGCCCGCCAGAGGGATATGCGGCGTTTCGGGCGACAAGCAGCGCTGCGACCGCGAAGTGGCGGTGGACATGCTCCCACGGTGCCGACGCAGCGCCGGAGTGGCCGGTGCTGCTCGCCGCGACCACGACGGCTACTCCGATGCTCCGGGCCGACCCGTCCTACCCGACGGTGGCACTCTTCCACGTCTCGCTCACGCTGAGAAAAATTCTGAAACGGCGTGCAGCAGAGTCGCCGACGAGTCGGTCCGCGTGCCTCCTCGTGTCGCGCATCGTTCTCACCCATCCATAAACTCACTTTGGCCTCACTAAAGCGAAATCTGAATCCTTAATCCTCAGATTTTAGATTAGGACGCTGTGGGCCCTCTAACACCGGCCTCGCGCAGTGAAACCACCCCGGGGCCAACCGTCTTCGGTTTCGTCGGTTCCAAGTGCACTAGGAACCCACGAAACCCGAAAAGAAAACGTGCACCCACTTCGAGTGTATCTTGAGTGTTGCTGTGGAGCGTCCGGTTTCAACACGCGCTCGCGCGCTCGCGTCTGCTGGCGCCCAGAGAACGTGTTGCACCTCGGGCTCCCGGCGGAGCCCAACTGCTCGCACTCGACAAGGCAGTCCATCCACTCGCGGCAGCTGAAGTCGAACTTCCACTCGATGCGGCTCGCGCCGGATTGTGAGCTCGGCGAGCGAGGTCGGAGAGCGACCTTCAGTTGGCCCAAGCCGCACGCCACTGAGGCAGAGCGGCCGTGCGCGTACGACGCCGTACGCGCACGGCCACTCTGCACCGACCGCAGCGCTGCATTGCGACCGCAGTGGCTCAGCTCAGCCAGGGCTCGCTCACCCGAGCTCGGAGCCGCCGGCGGTCATGCCTCATGGGCAGCAACAAAGGTTTGACGCGTCGCTCGGTGCAGGAGGGCACTGCAGTAGAGGTGCAGAGGCCGTCCGGCACGCGCGCGATGGGCTACAGCTCCATGGGCAGCTACCAGAGCGCGTCTGGAGCGCTGCCATTGTGTGACCCACGTCCAAGCGGCGCTTCCGGCCTGTTCCGACGGTTGGGAAGGGGGTGGTTTCACTGCGGAGGAGCCACCGGCCCCGGGCCCCAATGCCCAAAGCCCAACATGAAGGTAAGGGACTGCGCTCGTCCTCGTCATTCGTGCATGACAGGACCAGCTAAAAAAGCATAGAGATTAGCGAGTACTCTACACGGGCTAGTTCCATTTCACTGTGGCACAGCTCGCGTTACAAAACCTTGATTTTGACCATTGCGCGAAAAAGGTACATCTGGGTGCCTTCCAGAGGCAGCTGCGACCCCGCCGAGTAGACGGTCGCACACAGCAGGTGGCGCGGTGCGCAACCGTCCACTCGGCGGGGTCGCAGCTGCCTCTGCGCGTCCTGGGGATGTACCTTTGTCGCGCGCCGGAGACGACTCGACGCCGCTGAGATCGGAGATCAAGCTCTGACAGGTCGCACGTCGCTCCTTTGACGCCGACGTGACTCACCCGTGCAGATCACATCAGGACACGGTCTCGACACGCTCGGTACGACGCCTGCGACCCGTCTTGGGTCAGGTGGCACGACGCTCATCGCGCCTGCCAGCGCTGCCGTGCAGGTTGCCACGACGAGGTCGAGCACGCTTCTATACGCTCGCCGAGCCTTCCTTTCCATCCCATTAGGCAGCCTGGGAACGGTGGCGGTCAGAGGCAAAGCCTGCGAGGGGTGGTGGAACCACATGTCACGGCTACTGCCGGCTCGACCCCACGATAGCCTCCGAAGGCTGACTTTGAGGCACAATCATCGGACGACGTCGGCGAGTTGAGTCGCGCTCGCGGTAGCCAGATGACCTCTCATACTAGTATCATCGGCCATGGCCGCAGGAAGCGCGGGGGATTCCGCTGGGAGCAACACGGAGCTCCGTTGGACGCGTTTTCAAGATTAGCGTGTCAGAGTGAAATGGAACTAGCCACGGTGTACGGTCACGAGAAGTGTGCCACTCAGGTCTGAGCACTGTCTCTGTGTGCCACTCCCGGGAGAGTCCCCACAAGTCCCCCCAGAGCGCGATCAAGCCCGCGCCTGCTGCCAGCACGGTGCTGCCACTCCCGGATCTGCCGGCGCAGCGTGTGGTTGGGGGCGAGGAAGCTGTGCACGAGCGCCACGCCCGTCATTGGGCTCGTCGACTTGGTCGCGAGCCAGCGCTCGATCGCCGACCGCTCGTACGAATGCCCGTCCGCCGCCATCACCGGGTCGCTCATGAGCTCGGTCGTGATCGAGCAGATGAAGTCGGCCGGCGGCTCCTCCTCCCTCGGAGCCGGCGCCTCTGCAGCCGAGGACGGCCCTTGCGCCTCCGCCGCCCGCCTCCCCTCCTCCAGCCTCGCGCTCTCCTCGAGCGCCGCCGCAAGCTCCGCCTCCTCCGCCGCCGCCACCGCCTCCTCCGCCGCCTCTTCTGCCGGCGCCTCGGGCTCTTGCGACGGCCCAGCGCCGCCCCCGCCGCCCTTCTTCTTGCCCTTCTTCTTGGCCTTCTTCTTCTCCTTGGCGCGCTTCTCCGCCTCTGCCTCTGACAGCAGCGCCGCCGCAGCCTCCTCGGCCGCCCTCTCGGCCTCCACCCTCTCGGCCGCCGCCCTCTCGGCCACTGCCCTCTCCACCTTCGCCTCAATCTCCGCTCTCTTCGCCTCCCTCGCCGCCGCCACAAGTGCGCGCTCGCACTCGGTGTGGCCCTTCTCCTTGGCCAGCTGCAGCGGTGTGCGCCCGTCAGAGGTGCTCGCCGCTGTGTTAGCGCCCGCCCGCAGCAAGCAGAGCACGACAGCGGGGTGGCCATGGTAGCACGCGATGAGCAGCGGCGTGACGCCGCCCTCCCCGGCTTGGTCGACCGCTGCGCTAGCCTCGAGGAGCATCTGAACGATCTCGAGGTGGCCCTTCCGGCGTGAAGCGGCGTGCAGCGGCGTGAAGCCGCGGCCTGTGGCTTGGTTGACCGCCGCGCCGGCGCCGAGGAGCAGCCGGACGCATTCGAGCTGGCCCGTCTCGCACGCGATGTACAGCGGCGTGGCGTCGCCGTCCTTGGCTTGGTTGACCGCCGCGCCGGCGCCGAGGAGCAGCCGGACGCATTCGAGCTGGCCCGTCTCGCACGCGATGAACAGCGGCGTGGCGCCGCTATTCCTGGCTTGGTTGACCGCCGCGCTGGCATCGAGGAGCAGCCGAACGCACTCGAGGTGGCCCTTCCAGCACGCCATGAACAGCGGCGTGGCGCCGTCACCCTTGGCTTGGTTGACCGCCGCACTGGCGCCGAGGAGCAGCTTGGCGCACTCGAGCTGGCCTTCCTGGCACGCGATGGACAGCGGCGTGGCGCCGTTGACGTTGGCTTGGTTGGCCGCCGCGTTGGCTTCGAGGAGCAGCCGGGCGATCTCGAGGTGGCCGTTCCAGCACGCGATGTACAGCGGCGCGGTGCCGTCATTCCTGGCTTGGTTGACCGCCGCGCTGGCATCGAGGAGCAGCCGGACGCATTCGAGCTGGCCCGTCTCGCACGCGATGAACAGCGGCGTGGCGCCGCTATTCCTGGCTTGGTTGACCGCCGCGCTGGCATCGAGGAGCAGCCGAACGCACTCGAGGTGGCCCTTCCAGCACGCCATGAACAGCGGCGTGGCGCCGTCACCCTTGGCTTGGTTGACCGCCGCACTGGCGCCGAGGAGCAGCTTGGCGCACTCGAGCTGGCCGTTCTGGCACGCGACGAACAGCGGCGTGGCGTCGCCGTCCTTGGCTTGGTTGACCGCCGCGCTGGCGCCGAGGAGCAGCTGGACGCACTCGAGCTGGCCGTTCTGGCACGCGATGTACAGCGGCGTGGCGCCGTTGACGGTGGCTTGGTCGACCGCAGCGCTGGCCTCGAGGAGCAGCCGCGCGCACTCGAGCTGGCCGTTCTGGCACGCGACGTACAGCGGTGTGAAGCCGCTAGCGTCTACTTGGTTCACCGCAGCGCCAGCGGCGATCATCAGACGGACGCAGTCGATCTGGCCAGCCTGGCTCGCAGCGCTCAGCGGCGTGGTGCCGTCGTTCTTGGCTTGGTTGACCGCCGCGCCGGCGCCGAGGAGCAGCTGGACGGTCTCGAGGTGGCCCTTCCAGCACGCGACGTACAGCGGCGTGGCGCCGTTGACGTTGGCTTGGTCGACCGCAGCGCTGGCCTCGAGAAGCAGCTGGACGCACTCGAGCTGGCCCTTCTGGCACGCGATGTACAGCGGCGTGGCGCCGGTGTCCTTGGCCTGGTTGACCGACGCGCCGGCAGCGAACAGCAGCCGAGATGTCTCGAGGTGGCCCTTCTGGCACGCGATGAACAGCGGCGTGGCGCCGTCATCCTTGGCTTGGTCGCCGTCAGCGTTGGCGCCGAGGAGCAGCCGGGCGCACTCGAGCTGGCCGTTCTGACACGCGATGAACAGCGGCGTGGTGCCGTCATCCTTGGCTTGGTCGCCGTCAGCGTTGGCGCCGAGGAGCAGCCGAACGCAGTCGAGCTGGCCCTCCTCGCACGCGATGTACAGCGCGGAGCAGCTGTCGCCCGACGTCGCCCCCACGCTCGCGCCGCTCTCGAGCAGCAACCGCACGGCGTCGGCCTGCCCGCGCCAAGCCGCGCAAGTCAGCAGCGTGTTCTGGTTCTCGGCCTCGAGCCGCGCGTCGAGCAGGGCCGTGAGCGCCGCGCCGCGCGTCCGCCCGGAGAGGAGGGCGCGCAGCGAGGTCAGGTCGCCCCGGCGCAGGTCGGCGAGCACGGTCGGGCTGACGGCGTTCATGGCGATTGATTCCGCCGCCGCCACCGCCGCCACCGGAGAGCCGCAACCGGGCTCCTCGTTGGCCCCCGGGCCGTACCCGGTAGCGCGTGGGGCCCCCCGGGGGTGGCGGGGTGCGCGCGCCGTGACCCGTGTTAAAGTAACTCTGAGTTTACGGACGCCGGTGGGGACGTGGAACCTGCGGGGAGACGCGCGCACACGTCGCACCCACGCTCGCGGCTCGCGGCCCTGCACGCCCACGTGACCCGTGTCTCCGGCACCGCGGCGCCGCGGCGCGCCCCACGCTGACGCACCTACGAGATCGCGCTGCGGTCCCCTGCGCAAGTCCTGCCCCGTGTCCGCCGCCCGCGGGCGGCGCGCCCCCGCGCCCACACACCGTACGTGAAACATGTTTGGCCAGCCCACGCGCGCGACCTCCACGCGCTGACGCTCCAGCCGACGTCTCTGCTCCGACAGACTCGCGACTCCGCTCTCTCGCCAGCTGCAGCTCTGCGCGTCACTCCTTTGGTGCCGGCTGGCCCTCTGGGCGGAGGAGGGGGAAGGCAATGACGTCCTACGGTGCAAGAATGTCACGCTGGCCGCAACCACGCACGGAGGGGCGCGACAGCGGGCTTGTCGCCTTGATGGAAGGCGAGTCGGTCAGCAGCATCACCAGCCGGTCGATCCCGATGCCCAGTCCGCCTATTCACCGCATACGTCGTACAGAGACGCTGCCCACAGACCGGCTGGCGCGCGGCCCCGGACGCTGGAGTTCGCCCGTGGGCGGCATGCCATGCTCGAGCGCGGTCAGGAAGTCCTCGTCGACGCCGCACGCCTGCTATGAGGGGGGGGGGGGGGGGCATCTCCACACATGGCAAGGTCTAGGGGCTGGGGCCGTCTGCCGCTCGCCTCCTCATCCCCCGCCGCCTTCTTGGCTGCCTGCGCCTCAAACCGGGCCCGCTGGTCCACCGGGTCCGTCAGCTCCGAAAAGGCGTTGGCGAGCTCGCGGCCGACCGCAAAGAGCTCGAACCGCTCCTACAGCCGAGATGCAGCCGAGATGCGTGGGCACGCCTCCGGCCGACGGCAAACGACGAGAGCTCGAGCCGCTCCGTCACGCCCGGTCGGGTCCGGTGCGGCTTGGCCAGCGGCGACACCTCGGTCGGGTGGTCGAGGACGAAGGTCGGCTGCACCAGCTCTGGCTCGCAGAGCTCCTCGAAGCACAGCGCGAGCAGCTCGCCCAGCGAGGGCGCCTCGCCGGCGCCGGCCACGCCAGCGGCCTGCGCGGCCGCGCGGGCCGCAGCGAGCCCCTCTCCGCCCGAGGCGGCGTCGGAGCCGCCGTCCGCCTCGCGCAACGCAAAGAAGTCGAACTGCGGCAGCTTCTCCGCGACGAGCTCCGCCATGGTGACGCGGCGCCACGGCGGCGCGAGGTCGATGGAGGCGCCCTGGTACTCGACGGAAGTCCCTCCCGCCACGTGCCGCGCCGCGCCGGCGACGAGCTCCTCGGTGAGGGCCATCATGTCCTAGAGACACGCGCCTGGCCGGTCGTGGGGGGGCGTGTCCGGTGGCCGAGTCACCCCCGGGGGCCTGTCGTGGGCCTCGTAGTCGGCGTAGGCTTGGTAGAGCTCGATCGAGGTGAACTCTGGGTTGTGCCGCGTCGAGATGCCCTCGTTGCGGAAGATGCGGCCGAGCTCGTAGACACGCTCCTGTTCACAGCTGTAGGTGTGAAGAGACGCTGTTCACACCTCCTCGTGGCCGAGAGCTCGTGGAGACGCTCCACGCCGCCGATGACGAGGCGCTTGAGGTAGAGCTCCTGCGCGGTGGAGATGTGGGGAGATATGGGGAGATGTGGGGAGGTGGGGGGAGATGTGGGGAGATGTGGGGAGATGTGGGGAGAGGGGGGGAGACGTGGGGGGAGATGTGGGGAGGTGTGGGGAGATGTGGGGAGATATAGGGAGATGGGGGGAGATATGGGGAGATATAGGGAGATGTGGGGAGATGGGGGGAGATATGGTGAGGACCAGCGGGCCTTCGCGGTGAATACGCCGCCATCAGGGCGGGAAAGCGCCGCATTGTGCACAGAGCATGCAGAGCAGCGCGTGAACACGAGGGATACGACCGCAGTGCATGCGGCGGATTAGGGCCGGCTACAGCTGCATCCGTGCCCTCTCGAGCGCGCGTTGGAATACCGGATGTCCGTCTTTCCGCGTCTAGGGGTGGTCCGCGCCGTCGCGATCCGCAGCGTGAGGTCGAGGCCGAGGGCGTTGTGGTACGTCTCGAACGGCTTCGCCTCTGCGCCGCCCGGCTGCGCGTTGAGGCACGGCGTCTCGATCTCGAGGAAGCCGCGCTCGTCGAGGTACCTGCCCAATGCCGCAGGTGAGCCAAACGCGCCGTCCGCAGCGGCGATCTCTCGCGCCCTGCCGCGCCGCGCCTCCGGAGGTAGGCCGTGATGCGCGCGCGCGCGGCGAAGGTGGCGCGCACGCGCGGGTTGACGATCATGTCGAGGTAGCGCTGCCGGTACCTCTTGTTGACGTCGGCCAGCCCCTTCCACTTGTCGGGTAGAGGGCGCAGCGCCTTGGTCAGCAGTGTCGCCTAGGGTTGTTGGAGGGAGGGGAGGGAGGGAGGGGGAGGGTGGCTGGTCAGCAGTGTCGCCTAGGGTTGTTGGAGGGAGGGGAGGGAGGGAGGGGGAGGGTGGCTGGTCAGCAGTGTCGCCTAGGGTTGGTTGGAGGGAGGGGAGGGAGGGCGAGGGAGGGTGGCTGGTCAGCAGTGTCGCCTAGGGTTGGAGGGAGGGGAGGGAGGGGGAGGGAGGGTGGCGGTGAGGAGAAGGGTGTGGGTACGGGTGAGGGTCGGGGGTGGGGGCTAGTGTGAGGGCTTAGGGTGAGGGCTGGGGTACGAGTGGGGTTATTAGTCGCCTATGCACAGCTTGGCGGTGTGAAGAGACGCCGTGCACGCCGCCCCGCGCGACAAGCTCGGAGAGGCGCGAGTGCACCTGTTCACAGCAGGCGGTGTGAAGAGACGAGGCTCGCCCCTTACGCCACGCCTCGGCTGGCAGCGCCTCCGCCACCAGCACCGACAGCTCGCCCTTGTCCGTCCGCTTGACGCCGCCCTTCACGCCCACAAAGTCGCCTACGGCAGATTGCAATCTCGGACCCCTCCCAGCTCAGCGTCGGCTCTTGCACGCCCACAAAGCCGCCTCCGTCGGTGGCGTCGAGGAAGGGCCTGAAGGCGGCTCCCAGGCGCTTCTTGTCGAGATAGAGCTGGAAAGTGCCCTCGCCGTCTTGCACCGTGAAGAAGGCCAGCTTGCCGAACGAGCGCTTCGTCATGACACGGCCGCACAGCGCGACCTCGGCAGACGCATCCTCGGCGCCGGGAGAGAGAGAATCGAACGCCTCCGCAAAGGCGGCGGAGGAGTGGGTCGGCGCAAACGAGTAGGCGTACGGCGTGTGCCCGCCCGCCGCCACCGCCTGCGCCTTGTCCAGCCGCACCCGAAAGATCTCCGACTCGCTCAGCTCCGCCTCGGCGGCACCACTGCCGCCGCCGCCCTTGCCACCGCCGCCCTTGCCACCGCCGCCCCTTCCGCCGCCGCCCTTGCCGCCGCTCTTAGCTGGTGGTGGCTCGACCGGTGCGGGAAGCTGCGCCTTGAGGGCGAGGAGACGCTCGACGGCAGCCTTGATCGCGGCCTCATCGCGCTCAGCGGCCGCCTTGAGCTCGCGCACCACCTCGCCCTGCGCCTGGATGTCTCTCTCGAGGTCCGCGAGAGCCGAGCCTCCGCCACCGCTGCACATGCGCAGGCCGCCGAGCACGCCACGGTGTACCCGCCGCTGCCGCTGCGCCGCCACCACCGCCGCTTGCTGCATCGAAAAGGCTCGCACCGCCGCAGCGTCGGCAGGAGAAGCACTGGCGAGCGCTGCAAGCGGCGGCACGAGCCGGCAGCAGCGCGAGCTCACCGCCGCCGGGAGCAGCGTTCGCAGAAGCAGCATTGTGGTGTCTGAGCGTGTGCTGCCGGCCCAGGCCGCGAGATCGCAAGAAAAACTCGGCGGACTTTTCTTCCTTCTTTGCCGTTACGGTGGCGAACTTGCAGCTGCCGAAATGGATGAAGCCACGAACGACACGGCCGACGCGCCGGCTGAAGACACGGCCGTGCCCGGTGCCGCTGCTGACAGTGCAGAGGCGGCCGGGCCGTTGCCCGAGACTCCGTCCATTGTTGCCGAGAAGGAGAGTGAGGAGGAGGCTGGAGGCGTCCCAGCTGCCGAGGGGGCGGAAGAAGGCCCTGCTGAAGGCCCTCCTGCAGGGCCAGCGGAAGCAAACGAGTCCCCGGGAGGTGAAGGCAGCGAACCCTCCCCCTTGGATGCCGGTACCGCAGATGCTGGAGCGCCGGGCACGGACGGTGACGTTGGCCAAGATGTTGTCGGGGCGGAAGAAGCGAGTGTGGAACCAGAGGTGGCTGATGCAGAGGCCGGGGTGGTGGAGGCGGAGGCGGAGGCCCCGTCAGAGGCTACCGCCACAGAGATGAGCAGTGAGGCTCCCGGCGAGGCAGCGGCTGAGGGCGCGAGCCTTCCTGATGCGACCATGCCGCCTTCTCCAGACCGCAGGGGAGAGACGCCGATGAGCGACGAGCCTGACGAGCCTGACGAGGCGGGCGAGGTGGACGAGGCAGGCGAGGTGGACGAGGCAGGAGGCGGGGCGGACGAGGCAGGCGGGGCGGACGATTCGGAGGCCGCCATTGCGCAAACATCCGACGCCGGTGAAACCGCCGGTGCCGATGCCGGTGCTGACGTGGTTTCCGGAGATGAGGTGCCCACCGGGAAAGGTCGGCCGAGGCCCTCTCCAAAGACTGGGGGCAAGTCACACCCGCAGGGGATGGCGGATCTCGTCATGGAGCAGATGCTCAAAGTCCTGTCCAAGAATGTGCTCAAACTGGGAGAGGTCTTCCGCGGGTGCGCCCTTCCGGTTCCCTCCCTGACAGATCCCACAAATGAAAGGACGCCCCCGTCCCCGCGCGCGCGCTCCATGCGTCAGCCCTGGCGGGCTCCGCTTGTCAGTGGAGAGTGACGTGGTCCATCTGAGTGGATCGCATCATGATTGCGCGCGTGCGCAGGTGGGGCGTCGACGCATCCGCCCCAATCTCACGGCACGACTGGCTCAAGGCGTGCGCTAGATGGGGGAGGAATGGCAGACACCGAGTTCGGGAGCCTCGGAACGCCGCACACGATAGTACGGGCGCTCACATTCTCAGCCGTGGGGTCTGTCTCAAGGCGTGCCCCCTCATTGGCATCTCGGCGACGGAGGATCACGTGACCGCCCTCTTCGACCGCTTTGACGGCATCGAGGAGGGCGTCAGTGGCTTCACCCTGCCCCGGCTGCAGGCGGCACTCCGGCGCAAGAGCACGCCCGGGGGCGTCAAGCAGTCGCATCCCATTGCAAGCGAAAGGACTTCGCGATCCGTGCCTGCAAAGAAGACGAGCGGCACCGCAAAGGCTGGCCGCGGCGCGACCAGCCCGACCAAGGCGCCGACGAGGCGGCGGCCCCTCCCAGCGGGGGAGATGGTGGGGCCCGTAGACGACGAAGACGTGGCCCCCGCTGGCATTGACGGCGACAGAAGCAGTAGTGTGCGCCGCAAGGGCAGCGGGTCCGGGGGCGGCGGCGAGGGCCGCAGCGGGGCCGAGTCGCGAAACCCGTTTCGCGAGCAGGAGATTTGTGCCCGAGCAGTCTGCACCCCGCCCGTCCCTCGCTCACCTGGCCGTCCTCGTGAGTAGGATCTTCTGGCACTCAGCGAGATGGCGCCGCTCGGCCTGAAGGTCCTCGGGATGGAGCCTGACGAGTGGGGCGCTGTCGAGCCTGCCGCAGCCACCCAGATCGGCGCGGCGCTCGAGCGCAAGTCGACCGTCTTCGACCAGATCTTACGCTCGCACCTGCAGGAGTGGAAGCCTGGCGCCACCAGCCAAACCTCGCCCCGCCCCAATACCCAGCCGTGACCCTGCCCCGCGCCAACCACTCCCCTGCACCCACACCTTGGCCGAATATCAGGAGTTGGAGCCAGAGGGTGGACGCGTCTGGGAGCAGGCGTCGGCCACCTCGTGAGAACCTAGTAGACGCACCGCACCACTCAAGCTCGACACAGCGGGACCGGAGCGTAGGGCGACGCGCAGCCGCCGCTCGATCCGACTGCTCTCGAGGCTCAGCGGCAAGAGGAGCGGCAACGCATGGCCGAATTGGAGGCGGCTCGAAAGGCGGCGCGCGAGGAGCAACGCGCTAGAGAGCGGCACGCCATCTCGATCCAGGCCTCGGTCCGCGGCCGGTCCGAGCGGGAGCGCGTGCGAAAGAGCCGCCCCTCTCGTTCGTGGGCGTTCCAAAGGTTGATGACGCGTTCGCTGGACACGGAGTCGAACAGCGTCGTGCGGTTCTACATCGAGGAGAACGAGACCATAGAGATTTTGGAGGTGCGCGGAGCCGGTCGGCTGCTTCTCTCCGCCATCGATGCCCATGGCAAGCCTGTTGTCAACTCCGCTGTGGTCTTTGACTCGTCAGCCAATCTTCTCAACACCGCAAAGGGCAAGAACTCGGCCCCTGCTCTCTGGTCGGCGCCCGGAGAGCACGAGTACACCTTTTCGCTCATGCCGCTCGAGCCGCCGGCCGCAGAGGCGCACCATCCCGTCGGGCGGATGACCGTCCACTTTCGCAAGGTCATGGCATTTGGCGAGGCGGACGTGGTGAACGAGGTGCTCAGTCCCAACCTCGCCCTGTCCCTCTCAGCCCCTGCGTCTTTTGCCCCTGACCACGCCCCCCTCCTCGGTTACCAGGCACCCCCCAAGCCGCGAACCGACCACCTCAACCCTTATGGGCGTAACCCGCGACGCGGCTCTCAACTTCAGCCGATCGCGCAGCAGCCGCGGACACAGCGGGAGAGGCCCGGTGGCATCGGCGGAGCGGCGCGGGAGATGCCTCCTTCGCCCGGCGGCCGGCCGCTGCTGCCACCTGTGGAGGCGGACGCAGCGATGCCTGGACTCACCGGGTACCAGCAGGAGCTTGGCGATCGCACGCGCGACCGGGCAGCCAACCTCGAGGCGCAACAGAGGGAGGCGGATCGAAGGCTTCATGAGGCGACCCGCGCGGCCCATTGTTGAGCTTACCTGTTCGCACTTACCAAGCCACCAGCTTGGTCTCGCAGGCGGTAAGTGGTCTAGGGGACCCGGCGCTAACTAGCCCTGCCCCGGGTCTCGACCAGCTCGAGGCGATGCAGCAGGCGATCGCTCCGTAGCGTCCAGGCAGGGACCACCACACCTCGCGAATTTTACGTTCGGTACACGTAGGCGCAGCAGATACAGTTCGCGCACTACATGGCCGCCGCGCAGCAGCAACAGATGCACGGCCAGCAACAGCTGCACGGCCAGCAGCAACAGCAGCAGCAACAACAGCATCACCAGAATGCATGGGCAGACCCAAGCAATGCGTATGCAACGTACATGACGCAGGCCTACCCGCCACACGGCAACCCCTACGGCGCGGCGCAGCCTCCCTTCTACGGCTTCGGCAGCCCGACCGACCTCTCGCCGGTGAAGCAGGCTCGCAAAGGACCGCGCACAGGAGGTTTCGTGAGGTAAGCGGGGCGCCGGGCCTCGCGTGTGCTAGCAGGTTTACACGTCGCGGTCCAGGGCGCCACAGTTCTGAGATCCCGAGATTCGCGTATCACTTTGGTGTTAGTCGAGACTCACGGGGACACCGCGCACGCGGCGGGGGCGGCGCGCCACGGCCCTCGCGCCTCGGCCGCGGGCCGGTCCCCGCGCGCGCAGGTCCCCCCCTGCGCGGCCGCCTGCGGGCTGCACCCCGCGCGCACAGAGCGGAGCGGAGTACGGAGAAAATGCGGCTCTAGGTCTAAAGCAGTCCGAACTATAAATCTGTGACGAACGTATGTCGTAAAGCCGTAGCTATCTCGTATGCCTTACGCTTACCTGTGCCGCTGCAGCGCGCAAACACCGCGAATCAACGAGACGAGCTATCCGCTCTGGACTCGGTCAATCCGCTGCAGACCGCTCCGTTCCCGCCTCAACGCGCCGCACGATGTCCAACTGGATCGCTCTCGCGCGCGTCTCGTCGCCAGCAGCGAGGGCGAGCTCGGCGAGGTTGTGCCGGCAGACGACGGCGTCTGGGGAGGAGGTGCTGGTGCATGTGTCGTAGAGGGACGACGCGCGCGTGTAGAGGCTCTGCGCCTCGGCAAACCGCCCTTGCTGCTTTCGCAGGAGCCCGAGCGAGTTCAGAGCGCCTTTGAGGAGCAAAACACAAAGTCAGGGCAACGTCACCGCCGCTCACACAAGCCCACCGTTGATGTGCGAGCGCCCGCAAGCAGCGCACCCAGGCGCGCCGTAACCTTTGCGCCTTCGCCCGCTTGCGCCTCGGCGGCGAAGCGGCTCGCGTCGAGCTGCTCCGTTGCCCGCTCGAGCAAGTCCGATGCGGCGCCGAGGTCGCCTTGGACCGGAAAGAAGGGCCGGGGCGTGGGTGAGGGCGAGAAGGCGGCGCGGGGGTGGGGTGGGCGGGGATGGGTTGGGGGGGGGAGGGGGGCACCTTGCGCCCGAAGCACCGTCGCCAGCTGCGCCATCCCCAGCGAAACCTCGGGATGCGTCTCTCCCATCAGCCGCCGCCGCGTCAATATCGCGCCCTCGAGCAAACTGCGCGCCTCCTGCAGAGCATCGCCCGCGGCTCCGCCGCCGCCGTTCGCAAGGCCGCCACCGGCCACACCGTCCTCGCCACCTCCGCGGCCTCCTCCGCCGCCACCGCGGGTTGCGCCGTCTGCGCTGCTCTCGCCCGTCCAGCCCCTGCCTCCCAGCTCTCCATCTTCCTCAGTCGCACCCTCCGCCGCCGGCTGTGTGGCGACGGACGAGTCCCGAAGGAGGAGGGCCAAGTTGCTGGCGACCTGCCCAACGAGAAGAAGGGGAAGCGCACGCTGAGCCGCGGCGGCGGCGGCGGCGGGGGGGGGGAGGGGGGGGCGGTCCGGCGGGCGAGGCGACGCATGGTAGGGACGAGGATGGGCGGAGAGGCGTCAATGCCAGACAGGCGGCGAGCGAGCGAGCGAGAGGGTGAGTGGTGGACAAGAGGGGGGGGGGGGGTCATGACCGTGGCGGTGCTCTGGTGCTCTGCGCCGACCGAACGGCGGTAAAGCACCAGCGCCTCGCGGTAGAGCGCCGTCGCGCGCTCTCTCTCGCCGAGCGAGCGGTGTACGAGCGCTAGGTTGTTGACGGCACTCGCGCTGACCTGTCGCGGAGACAGGCTCGCAGTGTGTGCCGGTGCTGGTGTGAAGCTGGCGGGCAGGACGGGGACCGCCCGCTCTCACCGGGTGGTCGGGGCCAAAAAGAGAGCGTGCGAGCTCGCGGCACTCGGCTGCAGCGAGGCGTGCCTCGTCGTACTTTCCCGCAGCGTGGGCCTTTCCAATCTGCTGCTGAAGGGAGCGGATGCGAGCCTCCGTGGCAGGAGGCACATACGTCTCCGCAGCGGGACCGTGCTTCGCATGCAGCGGGTCATATCGCGAGTATGGCTCGGCGCTCTTCCCACGGCTCCAGCAGCGGAGTGGAGCTGCTGATCTCCACCTACGTCTTCCCACGGCTCCACCTAGGCCTGCTGCAGCCATCACCGTCGAATGTGCTGCCACCGTCGATGGTGGCGGACGCAGGGCAAAACCGCGGCTGAGCCGAGAGAACAAGCGCATTGCGCATTCAGCCAGTGCCGCGGCGCTGCCTCCGGCTGCTTGCTGCTCGCTGCGATGGCGAAAAACTCGCGGCGTCGCACACCAAGGGCTTATGCTCTGGCGAGACGTGAGGCGCATGCGCCCAGGAGGGGAGGGCGCATGCGTAACGACGCTGCTAGAGATGCCTTTCGGGGCCCAGAGATAAAACTTCTGATGCCACATGCGTGACCTAGTAGTGTCCCCAGCTATGGGCGTGTCCACGTTGGAGCCAGGTGTGGTGTGGACGCGAGAATAGCTCCGCTGTTCATGGAGGCAACCGATGCGAGTCGACTGGTGTGTGTCGTCGTGGTTTCGTAAAGCCGTATCAAGAATACTCACTCACTCACTCACACACCGGCCGCTGGTCTATGAGAGGTTGAGGAGGCCCTGGGGATGTTCCCACAGCGCCACAACGACGATCTTCCGAACAACCGTGCGAAGCACCTCACCCAAGCCCGCTCCTCAGACCGGATCGAAAAGGCATCGCTGGCTGCGGGTCGACCAACGCCTGCGCTGCCCGCACCGCGCGCGTGCGCTGCCGCTTCGCATTGACGCGCTTTTGGCGCCACAATGCGCTGTTGCTGTGCGCATTGCAGTGCGCCGGCGCGTCGCCGCCCCGCCAGTGACCGCATTCGGACACGCGCGCGTCGCAGATGAGGCAATAGCAGTTGGGGCAGGCCGCCTCGTTGCCATCGACCGGCGCCGCGACCGGCCCCTCGGCCGCATGGAAGGGGTGAAGCGGGCAGAGCGCCCGCTGGTGCGGCAAATGCTCGGGCAGCAAGCCTGTGCGGCGCAAGCAAGGGAGTGGGTGAGTGAGGATCATCTCACATTGACTATAGTTTCGAAGCGCCTGATGCGGCAGAGATCTGCACGTCGCCGCCTTCCAGCAACGGAACGGCAGCGGCGGAGCTTTGAGGCGGCGGCGCCACCTCCTCCACCCCGTCGTCGTAGTCGCTCATCGCCTCCGCCTCCTCCTCCTCCGCCTCCGCCTCCTCCGCCTCCGACTCCTCCTGCTCCACCTCCACTTCCACCGCATCGTCCTCTCCCTCCGCCCCCGCCGCCTCGCGTTGAACGCTCGCGTCGGGCGCAGAGGGCGCGGCGTCGCTCGAGGATGACAGCGCGACGCCGCCGCTGCCGCCGCCGCTGCTGCCGCCGCCGCCGCCTCCGCCACCAGCTCGCCTCGCACTCTGCCCCGCGTCTGTCGCTCCTCGCGCCCGCTTCTCCCTGACGGCATGCCCGCCTGCCGCCGCCAGCTCCGCCTCCCCCACTGCCCGCGCGTACGCCACCGCCGCCTCCACCGCTGTGTCGAAGGTGCCGATGGCGACGTTCTTTCCGTCCACACTGTGGTTCGCCGCGAAACGGCCAGAGTGCTCGTACACGCCCCTGTAGCCGGTGCTGCTGCGGCTCGACAGGTGCAAGCGCAAGCCCTCCGCCTCTGTCGCCACTGTCGGAGGCTGGTACTCGCCGACCGCCTTCGCATACGCCACCGCCGCCTCCACTGCTGTGTCGAATAGGCCGACGTAGACGTGCCTGCCGTCCACCCTGTGCTGCGCCTGGAAGCGGCCAGACTGCTCGTACACGGCTAAGTAGCCGGTGCTGCTGCTGGAGAGGTGCAGGCGCAAACCCTCCGCCTCCGCCACCGGAGCCTCCTGGCTAGACATGGCCTCCGAGCCTGCTAGCGCCGCCTTTCCTGCCGCCGCCTCCACCTCCACCTCCGACTCTTCGCCGTCCTGTCTCGAAGCGCCCTTGCTGCGCTCCTCCGCCTCGACATCGGTCGGGTCGAACGGGCGCTTTACGCAGCGAGCCCGCTTGCCCTGCAGAGTGAAGGCGTGCTGCCCAGCGTGGCCAGCAGGCAGGACGCATCCAATGGCGCCGCCGTCGCGCTCGTGCGTGCGGCCGCAGAGAATCGTCTCGCCGGCAGGCTCGGCGGGCGGCGCGCTCTTGGATGCTGAGGCCGCCACTGCCGAAGCCTCGCTCATGGCCCGCGCGTACGCCACCGCCGCCTCCACCGCCGTGGCGAAGTAGCCGAGGTGTACCGTCCTTCCGTCCACCTTGCGCTTTGCCTCGAAGCGGCCAGAGGCGAGGTTATACACTCCTTGGTAGCCGGTGTTGCTGCTGCTGGAGAGGTGCAGACGCAACCCCTCCGCCTCCGTCGCGAACGCTGCCCCTTGAGGCTCGGATGCCGCTTTCCCTGGCTCGGACGCCGCGAGCGCTTCGGTACGCGGTGCCAGCGGCATTAGCTCTGTGCGCGCAGAGCCAGCTCGCCCGCCGGCGGTGGCGTCGGCGACAGCCACTGATTGCGAGAGCTGAATGTGGCGCAGGCTTGCCGCATACTGGTTTCGGGCCAGCTCCTTCCGAGATGAGCCTTTACGGCGATAGTCGCCGCCCTTTCGCGTACTCATTTGCGCCGAACGCAATGATTTTGTGGCTCCTGAAGCCACTGTAGGCACAGCACTTGCTGCAAGCAGCCTGAGCTGAACCACCGTGAGCACTGGCAGTCGCGTGCAGGAAGAAATCGCGCGACCCGGAGAGGAAGCTAGGGGAGAGAGGGCAAGGGACAGGGCGCTGGCATACCCGGGGGCGTCCCGCCGGCACTGTCCCTGAGTGCGTCCCGCCTCAGCGGCACGCACTCGGCGAGGACAGTCCGGCCGACGGGAACGTGTCGCGCGCCGGCGACGAATGCGGCGGGGTGGGTGTGGGTACCAACTACCAAGCGCCGCTTCGACGAAGCGAGGTAGGCAGGCGCCCCTCACGAGTCCGTTCAGACATGCCACACGCCCCTCGCAAGCGAGGTTAGTAGGCGCCCCTGGCGAGACCCGCAAGAGATGCCACACCCCTCTCGTACCCAGCCCTTGCAGAACAGACCCCGCCCGGCCGGCTGAAGAAAGACTAAATAAAACAACAGCTTCGCAGATTGAGAATCAATTCTGAAAAGGGAGCAGGTCCCCGCCCATGCGGCGGTCTTGCTTGTTCTGGTCGTATTGCTTGTTCTGGTCGTATTGTGGTTTGTGCAGGGTTCTAGGCAGGGTTCCTTTGAGCTTTGTGGGGGCGGGTCCGCGCGGTCGGCGACTAACGGCCGGGCTCGTCCTCCTGTCGTCCTCCCTACCAGCTCCCTACGCGGGGACTAGCACTAGCTGCGTCGTCCGCACCTGGTTCGCCTTGTCCCTCGACTCGGTCCCTGTTGCTCCTGATGCTGATCTCGTCTTACAGCCCCTCCTGCCGATCTCTGCAAACGGTGATGGATCCTCGCGGCGTCCGCGTGGCCGTGGGCGTGCGGATGCGCCCCCGCCCGCAGTGCCCCGCGCGTCGTGTGTTCGGGGTGCGTGTTGGGGGCGCGCATAAAAATTGCGTCCCCTGCCGGGCGCTCTTGTGGGCCTGGGCGGGGCGTGCTGCTGGTGCTGCTGGGGGGTGGTGCCCGCCCCGCGGCCCCCCCCGTCTCGCTCTTTGCACTTTGCTGTCAAAATATAGTGTGTTACGAACATGACTGAACTTTCACATTTCATGCTACGTTCTGAGTACTGACGTATACGCATCAAACGACCGACCAGCAAGAGAGATCTGTCACGTGCTCGAGTACCGAGAGCTGCCATCATCTTTGCGCGCTGTGCCGGAACGACCCCAGCGTCCCCACGCCCCCTTGCCGATCGCCGTATTGCTTATGGGCGCTGGCAACGTGATCACGTTCCTCCACAGTCCATGTTTAGCCGGACGTTGATCATGGATGCGCGCTCGCGGATGCGCTCCTCAAGCGAGCGGCCGAAGGTGTACGAGTCGGAGAGGGCCCTCGCTTCGCGGTCTCCGAGCGTGCCGGACGGCGCCGACATTGCCGCCGATTTGAGCTTGAGCAGCTGTTCGGTCCCAGTCCGCACCTCATCCGCGGCCTTGTTGTCGATTTTGACGATGGACTCAAGGACCCTGCAGTCGTCGCCCTCGAGCTTGCGTTGTCTGAAGTCCCTCTCCGGATCCAGCAAATCGTCTCGGATGGCACGGATGATTACGTTGTCCGTGGTCAGCGAGTTGTCCTTTGCTCGGCGGGCGATCGCCTCGTACTCCTCCCTACTGAGGGCAGCGGCTGGCCAAGCGCGTGCCGCTGCGGTTGTGGCAGCTGCAACGAGAACTGAGCGCCTCCGTGCCGTCTCTGGAGCTCGAAGAGCGGCTAAGCACTGCACGGAGGAAAGGAGGAGGAGAAGAACCATGGGAACCTCCGGAGCTGGAGCTGAGGCCCTGAACCGACGAAAAAGAATTTCCGGTCATCCAAGCGAAAAAACAAGAATTCGCAACCTTTCCCCCACCACACCATCCGCTGGCGATGCCTAAGCGTGCACGTCGAGCGCCCTGGCAAGAGAACATCAGCACACTGCAACGCAGCGGTGCATCGTCGAAGATGCAGCTGGCGGCCACTTACGCACTCCACGCTAAGGTGAACGGCATGACGGAGAACTCAGACGCCAGCACGCACCCTGTTTTACAGGACGCTCGCGGTGTGGCCAAGGCCCTCGTCCGTGTGCTACAGCTTGGTGGCGAGCCTGAGCTCGTACGATACGCCACCGCTGCGCTGCAAGAGCTGTCCCGTCCACACTACAGTGTGCACGCCGTGGCAGAATGTGGGGCCATTGCGAGCTGTGTGGCACTGTGCTCGTCTGCAGACTGTGCCGACACGCTGCATCACGCCGCCATCATCTTGTACCACCTTTCGATGGACTCGCGGCTGCCCAGCGGTTACGTGAGGAGCTACGCCGACGAGGTGTACGATGCAGGGGCGGTGGCGCCGCTCGCTGCGCTGCTGCCACACGAATGCCTCGACGTGGCGCGGGCAGCTGCAGACGCATTGCGCGGGCTGTTGGAGGAGGCGCTGGAGCGGGACGACGTGCCTGTGCTGGACGCAATTCTTGGAAGCATCTCGACCCCTGTTTCGGATCATCTCAGCCGCCGGTTGAGAGCTGCGCTGCAGCAAGCCGCACGGAGGAGCTCGAAGGCTCGCATAGAGCTCTTCGGAGATGGTGCGAATGGCGCTGCTGGCTGTATTTCCCTGACAATGAGTGTCCTTGACGAGCACTCGGATCGCATGCCCGAGGACACGTACCGCCGGCTTGCGAATGCCCTGATTGGGCGTGAGGACTGAAACACGTGTACATAGCCGAGCCGTAGGCTGTAGCAAGGTGACAAGAGAGAACCGTCCTCGGTCCTGTCTCCTGATTCGAAGGAGGGTATCTCTCTCACCTGTTCCGACCCTGATCACACCTCTCTCGACGTCGAACACCGAACTCTCGACCTGGGATCCGACCGTGTTCCGTGACCGTGTGTGTTTTCACTTCGAACACCGCGGAACACACGGATAACACGGTCGAGGTCGCGCGGTATTCCTCCGCGTGTGGGGCCTGTTTACATATTACAGTTACCAGTTTATATAGAGAGAGTTTACCCCGGACCTCTAGCTCTACCATAAGTGCAACGAGGCGGTTATACCCGTTATTTATTTCGCTGATCTCTCCTGCGTCCTGGATGTGCGGTTGATGACTGCACTCCAAGTGCTCCAAGTGCTCTCCCCCCCTAGCTGCGTCCAAAAGTTGCACGCGCTGCCGTGCAGCTGCGCTCTGGCCACACCGCCGCCCACACCCAGCACGAGCGACGTCCAGTTCGCCCCAGCACCGTACGCCGGCCACCAGGCGCGGCCTCCGCCGGCGCCCCCTCCGCTGTTGGGGTCGCCCTCCCTCGCCAAGCCCGCCCAGTAGGCTCCGATCTCGTCGGAGAGCCTCCTCTCGGCCGGCGAGAAGGGGCAGTCGGCGATGCGCGGGCGACCAGACAGGGTGTCGTGGTTCTGCTCCGACCCGAAGACGTACCGCACCTCGGCGCCGTGCGTGGCCCACGTCGCCGACGCGCCAGCCTCGACAACGTCGAGCTCGACGCCGTTGTCACAGCCGCCGCCCGGCGCGGTCGGCGACGGCATGAAGTGGGAGAACTCGTAGTGCCACACCGCCACGCCTGCGGCGACGGCCATCCTCGCCGCCTCAGTCTGCGGGCAGAGCACGTACGCGTCGGCATCCGCCTGGACGAAGGCCGCCTGCGCCGAGCCGCCAAAGCGCGAGAGCGGGTAGTGGGCGCGTACTGCCCGCGCCGCGGCGCCCCACGCGCCTTTGAGCGCCGTCTCGTAGGCCGCATCGCCGAGCTGCGCCTGCGCCAGGGGTGGCGGAGGGGGTGAGGAGACGGGGCGCCGCTCTCGAAGGCGGCCTCCCTCGCCCGGCGAGCACACCGGGTCGGGGGCGATGTTGCCGAGCGTGGGGGCCGTGCCGTAGAAGGCGGCGGTCCCGTCCTTGCTCGTGCCTCCGACGAGCATCGCGCGCGGGTGGATGGCCCCCGCGGCCCAGAGGTCGGCGGGGGGCGACCGGACAACGGCGTCGTCCGGGAAGTAGGCGCTAAAGTAGGGCGCAACGTCCAGGTCCTCCATGTACCGGCTCGGCCACTGTATCCGGGTCGCGTCTCGTACGGCGCGGAGGCCCTCGATGCCGCTCGTGACGTTGAGCTGCGCCATCACTTCCCTCGCGATGGCGGACGGAGAGACGGAGGTGACGGGTCCCCACCCGCGGCCGGGCGGCCCGCCGAGGCAGGGCCCGGACTGCAGCGCCACCTTGGAGAAGAGGCCCGCCGCCGCGGGAGCGACGCAGAGCGTACAAATCGCATAAGAGCCGGACGACTGGCCAAAGAGCATCACGTTGCCCGGGTCGCCTCCAAAGGGGGCGACGTTTGCTTTGAGCCAGCGCAACGCGACGATGATGTCGTAGATCCCGTTCATACCGCCAGAGCCGCCGCCGGGGAAGTCTGGGAGCGGGCAGAAGCCGAGCGCGCCCAGCCGGTACGAGACGCTGACGACGATCACTTGCTGCCTCACGACGAGGCGCGAGGCGTTGAGAGAGACTACGTTGGCGCTGCCGCCGCAGAGGCCGCCACCAAAGATGTAGACCATCACCGGGAGGGGAGCAGCCGGCTCCTGGCTGGCGGCGGGCCGCCACAGCGTGAGGTGGAGGCACGCTTCCGACTGAGGCGGCTCCTCACTTCCCGGAGCACGGATGGGACCCGCGGGGTTCTGAATGCAGGGCGGGCCAGGCAGCCGGCCGTCGTGCACGCCGCCCGGGAACGGGACCTCGGAGAGGCTGGCTCGGGCAAAGCGGAGCTTTCCCACCGGCTGCTCGGCAAAGGGAATGCCCGCAAAGCGCTCGACGCCATCGGCAGCGCGTGAGCCGACCACCCAGCCCTGCGCCGTGCGGACGCGTGGAAGCCCGAAGGCATAGAGCGGCGCGAGATGCAGCGGCGAGAGCATGATCAGAGATGTGGCTGTTTGCGCCTCTCTCCTTCGGCAGCAGGTTCGTCCCGTGCCGGATGGCCAGCCAGGGGACGTTTGTCTGCGGCGAAGCACTCGACGGCTGGCAGGCCGAGGAACCGAGAGATGCTCGCGTTCAGCTGTTCACAGTAGAGTAGGGTGATAAGAAACAAGAACGTGATGCGACGACAGTGAGGGTGTGAGAGCCGCACGCGTCGTCTCGAGAGAGATTTTAGCATCTCCGGACAGCACAAAAGTCAAAACGCCTCGCGAGCAAAAACTCAAATTACAAAAACTCTCGCGTCGGACGAGGGACTCTAGCAAGCAACTGGATACTTCACGTAAACGCACAACCCCGGGCCCGAAATCGCACAGAGTCACGCAACACGGGGTCCCAGGGAAGGCGAGCAAAAACCTTTACACCGACTAGGTAGGTAGGTAGAAAGGTGAAGAACAGCCAGGCTCGGACTGGACACCAACGCGGTATGGGTGGACGCTGGACAGATGATGACGACACGCACGAGCGACACACAGACACAAACAAGCTCACAAGACACACAGCCAGCTGGCTGCCACACACCCTGAGTCGGCGTACACATAACTCAAGGCCACATCCTCCCTGTCGCCCCCCCCAGCACTCCAAGGTGCCAAGAGAAACAAACAAGGGCACAACAAACAACAACCGACTCGATTCACACCTGAGTTAAGAACAATCCGCACTGCCAAATAAACAGTTGGGCAATTCAGGGACCCTTGGGAGGGCTGTTGTTATCATCGTCGTCCGCGCCGCCTCTTCCCTTCCAACCTGCGATTCTGCAGCTGTGAATGTTGGAACGAAGCGCCCCTCAGCATCAAAGAGATATATTTCCCATTTCGTCAGGTGTATATTATTTTTGCTTGGGGCGGCCCTCATGACGGGGTAGGTAGGGTAGGTCTGGGCCCTCCCGTCGGGTTTTTCCCTCTCTTCACGCCGGAATTTTCACAGCAGAAAAAGAAAAATTTCCGCCCAAATCACGATGTCAACCCTCCCCAAGTCGTTGATCTGGTGCTTGTAGGGCTTGAGAGTGGCCTGCCATGTCACAAGAAGGACTGTGGTTGCAGGAGAGTACCACCAACCATCACTCTAGTTGGTATAGTACCCCACCTTCACCCCTCGAGTGTTTTCTTTTTTAGTTTCCCATAAGTAAGGTAGGTAGGTAGGTAGGTAGGTAGGGGCACCGCAGGGGCCGGTCAGGTTTTTCCAGAATTTCATCATGAGGGCCGCCCCAAGCAAAAATAATATACACCTGATTTCGTGCACAAAGAGCACAAAGGTGGCACCCTCGGCCAGCTGAAGCTCTCGACTCGTCGACCGAACTCTGGACGATGCCGACCTCAAACCACCAGCGCCAGGAACGACGTGCCGCGGCTCGCCGCGCATCTGTTGCGACCGACGACGTGCCCGACGCCGTCCCGCGGCCGCAAGGAAGAGGCCCGCGCAACCACTTCTGGGACCCGCGGCCGCCGGGCGTGTGGCGGCACAACGAGTCGAACGAACCGTACCAGAGCAGAGCGGCGCGTCTCACGAGCGCCCGCGGCCGCCACGCCGCCGCCGTCCGCGGCCGACGGTGGTCGCGAATCAACGCGGCGCGGTGCACCGCTGCGCCTGTCCTTCCGCGCAGCTGGACGTCGGCCGAGAAGACCGCTTCCCTCTGGGGACCCGACTCCGCGAAGATCGCGCGCGCGTCGTGAGTGGCGGCGCGCGCGCGATCTCCGTTCCCGGGCACGCCGGTCGCAGTGACATGGGCTCCCAGGCTCAAAAGCGCTCAACAGCGAGCTGCTCCTCCTCCTGCCGCCGCTCCGCTCACCGAGACAACTCGGTGCCGCCGTTCTCGCCGCCGCCGCCGCCGCCGCCGCCTCGCGCCTTGCCTCCGTCACCGCCGCCCTCCATCTCGCAGCGGCGCGTCCCTCTGATGGCGCGGGCTCCTCGCTCGTTGGCGCCTCGCCGCCGCCCCCCCTCTCGCCGCCGCTCCGCTCGTGGCCGCCCCATCCCCTGTCAATCCCGCCGCCTCCCCTGTCAATCCCCCCCACCGCCGCCACCGCCTCGCGCGTTTAGCGGGCCTTTAAGCTTAGGAATCCTAAATAGAGGACAGCCTATAAAGTGTGATTCACACACACACACACACACACAGCCTATACAGAAAAGAAACGCAATGTCGAAGGTGCCACCTTATAAAAATAGGCCCGCGCGTGCTGCGCGGGCGGCGAGCGACTAGCGAGCCAACCTGCTAGTGTGTGTATATGCCTCCTCGCAAGCGCGCCCGCGCCGCCGAGCAGCCCGCTCCCCCGGCCCCGGAGGAGGCGGTCGTGCTGGCCGGCGGCTACCGCCAGATGCCATCGCTGGTCCAGCTTTGGCGCGAGGGCGCCCTCTGCGATGCAAGCGTCACCGCGTCCGAGGGCGGGGCCACCGAGACTTTCAGCGCGCACCGCAACGTGCTCGCCGCCTCCTCGGAGTACTTCCGTGCCCTCTACGTTCGATCGACCTCGCCAGACCGCAGCGGGCCCCTCACGCTGGACGGCATTTCGCCGGCGGCGATGTCGCAGCTCCTCGCTTTTGTTTACGAGGGCCAGTGCTCGCTGCCGTCCAACGCGCTGCTGGTCCCGGTGCTCGAGGCGGCATGCCGGCTGCAGTTGGCTCCGCTCCGCGACGCGGCCGTGCAGGCCATCGTAGAGCGGCTCACCCCGGAGTCGTGCCTCGGCGCGTGGACGCTCGGGGCAGCGCACGAGATCCCGGCGCTCGCTCTGGCGGCGCGGAAGGAGACGCTCGCCTGCTTCGCCGATGTGACGAGCGACGCGCTGGCGACGCTGTCGCACGGCCAGCTGAGCTCCTTACTCTCCGACGACGCCCTCGCGGCGCCCGAGCCGGCCGTCTTCCGAGCCGTCGAGGCGTGGTGCGGCGCGCAGCAGCCCGACGAGGCGGCCGTTGCGGCGCTGCTCTCGCACGTGCGCTTCGGGCTCTTCGAGTTCGAGGAGCTGCAGAGCGTTCGCGCGGTGCCGCTGATGCAGTCGCCCGCGGCCATGAATGTGCTCACCACGGCGCTCGCCGAGGCGTTTCACCGGCGCGACACGCCGCGCACGCGCCGCCGCGTCGGTGGCGGAGCGCTCTACATCTTGGGTGGCACGGGGGCTGATGGCATCACGCGCCTCTCCGGCGTCCAGATCTTCGACCCTCAGACCAACAGCTGGGCTGCCGGGCCAGCCATGTGCACGGCACGCTACATCTGTGCCGCGGCCGTGCTTGACGGCAAGATCTTCGTCATGGGCGGCGTGGCTGCTGACGGCAGCACGCGCCTCTCGAGCGTCGAGTTGTTCGATCCTCAGACCAACAGCTGGGCTGCCAGGCCAGCCATGGGCACGGCACGCAGCAGCCACGCCGCGGTCGTGCTTAGCGGCAAGCTTTACGTCATGGGCGGCGTGGCTACTGACAGCCGCACGCGCCTCTCGAGCTTCGAGTCGTTCGATCCTCAGACCAACAGCTGGGCTGCCGGGCCACCCATGGGCACGGTACGCAGCAGCCACGCCGCGGCTGCTGTTGAGGGCAAGGTGTACGTCATGGGCGGCGTGGCTGCTGACGGCCGCACGCGCCTCTCCAGCGTCGAGTTGTTCGATCCTCAGACCAACAGCTGGACTGCCGGGCCACCCATGGGCACAGCACGCTCTCACACCGCCGCGGCTGTTGTCGGCGGCAAGATCTACCTCGTGGGTGGCATGGCTGCTGCGGAGACGCGCCTCTCCAGCGTCGATATCTTCGACTCTCAGACTGGTAGCTGGACTGCCGGGCCGGATATGGGCACGGCACGCTCCGCCGCCACCGTGACTGTTGTCGACGGCAAAATCTACGTTGTGGGTGGCTTTGACGGCGACGCGCGCCTCTCGAGCGTCCAGGTCCTCGACCCCCAGACCGGCAGCTGGGCTGCCGGCCCTCCCATGCCCACGCGACGCACCAGCCACGTCGCGGCCGCGCTTGGCGTTCGGTGAGCTCTGAGCGCGTGGTTCTCTGAGCTAGCTCGGGGCCGCTTATGGAGCCGCTTCTCATACGTGTAGGCAGAAGGGCTGTGCACATATGCAATTGGATGTACTGCTACGTACCCACGCCGCCGCAGCCCGTGACCGACTGGCCGAGGCTCGACCACCAGTGACTGAGCCTAACTCACAAAGCCCCCCATGTCACATGCACGCCCGGTTGTAGTGCGGCTGTGTACTCTACTCCCGCTGTCTTTAAATACTGTACACTTCGGCCGGGTGCTGTGCTAATTCGGGTACCTGCGCATGTTCCTGCGCAGGTGTCCGTGCCTTGCATGATTTTTTTACATGTTTATGTGTCGTCAGCTTTCACTTCAACTTAGTGGATCGAAGCGGGACCCTGTGTGCGTCGCGGATTCACCACCCGCACCGTCCGGTGCCGGCACCGGGGTATTCATGCAGAGCAGGCGTGGCTCCGCTCGTGAGATTGCTGCTCCGGATTGCTACTTCAGCTCTATCAAATACTCGCGAAACTCGACGGACGGAACTGCGCTGTCGACGCTGTGCAAGCACGTGGGCGCGAGCGGCTCTCCGTCGGCGTCGAATCCGCCGTTCCGCACGACCGTCCACGAGACGAAGCCGTCGTGAAAATGCACCGTCTTCTCGAGCTTGGCGCCGCCGCCGGCGACCGGCGTGTAGACGTTGAGAGCCGCGCCTACTCGCTCCACGACGTTGTGACGGGACGAGCCTCGCCGGCGGGCCAACCGCGGAGCGCCGCGCCGTCGCCGAGCACCACCCACGCATTGTCGAACACGTGCTGGTGGAAGGCGAGTCGGTCCATCCCGAGGCTGGCGCGGAAGTCCCACATGCGCACGAGCGCGTTCTCGAGCAGCAGACGCTGGCCCGGCGCCGTGGGCCAGCGCGGCGCGGCCAGCCGCCGCGCGACCTCCTCCTCGCCGTGCAGCGGCTCGCCGAGCACTTCGAAGCAGATGTCCCGCCGCTCGTGCGGCGAGACGTTGCGCACCGTCGCCGTGAAGCCCGCGGCGTGGAAGGAGGGCGACGGCGTCGGCTGGCTCGCATCGAGGACTTGCCACCGCACCGCCGGCACCGCGTGGTGGACGCTGGCGGTGCAGTCCGGACCGAGCCGCTCGTCGAAGATGCGCAGCCGAGAGTTGGCGTGGAGCAGGCGCCTGCTGTGCCCCACCGGCCGCCGCAACACCGCGTGCACGTACACTCGGTCCATGTGCACGCCGCGCCGCTGGTTGGTGAGGCGGACGCACAAGTACCGGCTCTCGACCACCTCGAGCCCCGCGGCCGCGGCCAGCCTGTCCACGTCCGCGAGCGAGTAGTACCGCCGGTGCATCCCCCCCGGCCGCAGGAAGGCCGCCGTGTCGACGGGCGTGGCGCCTGCTCGGGGCAGGCGCAAAGGTAGGCAGCGGTGTGCGTGCATGAAGGGTTGCGCGTAGCAGGATGATCACGATGTGTGAGTGCTAGACTTGTTTGTGGGTAGCAGGGTGGCGTCGCGCTCGCCGCGCGCAGCGTCTCGCAAGTGGCGCATGTCGTAGAGGCCGCAATCCCGGAGCAGCAGCACGCCGCCCGGCCGCAGCTCTCCCGCGGCGGCCGAGAGGAGCACCGCGTCGTCTCCGCCCGGGATGGCCTATCCGCACTCGTGAGACACGCACGTCGCAACCGCGCCGCGCTCTCGCGCCGCTCGCCGCGGGCTGTCTGCCGACAGCGTGAAGAGGGCCATGACGGCGTCGAACGGGCCGTGCCCCGGCGAGCACGGGCGTGTGAGGCCGGGCGGGACCTCGGCCGTGAGCCGGTCGGAGAAGCCCGCCTCCTCCACCCGACGCACCTAGAGCATACACGCACGTCGCATTCCCGGCTCCGCGCACCGGGAGCCCTCCTCCTCCTCCTCCGGACCGTGTCAGCCACGGCGGTGGGCGACGGGTCGGTGGCGTGGACGCGAGCAAGCGGATTGCCGCGCAGCAGCGGCAGCACGCTCGATCCGTTGCCGCACCCCAGCTCAAGCACGCGCATTGGAGCCGCGCCGCCGCCGCCGCCGCCGCAGCCGCCGCCGCCGCCGCCGCCGAGGAGCTGTGGGAACATGAGGAGGAGCCCTCGCCGCTCCTTGAAAAAGGGCGTCGCCGCCTCCGCGTGCCGCACAAAGTGGCTCTCCCACCGCTTCGCCTGCGTCTCTGTCTCGCCGACGCCTTGTGGTGCGGCCGCAGTGTTGACTGCCTCAGTCTGCCGCCGCACCGTAACCTCTACCCTGTCGCGAAGAGCCTCCCAGGAAAAATCTTGCGACTCGTGGAAAATCGCGGCGTGGGCACGTCCGGGGTCGCTGGCGGGGCAACTAGCCTCGACTCGCTCGCGCATGTGGCGCCTTCGGCTTTCTTTTTCTCTTTCCTAACCGTTTAGTAGGAACGAACTAAATCGACCCCGCGCTCACCGGCGGCCGCCCGCGTCGCGCTCGCGGCGTCGGACGAACCCCGGTCGTCGGACCACCACCTCGCTCCTCGCTCCTCGCTCCTCGGACGAGACGAGGCACGGGCTGCCACACGTCCCAAGACAATCTCACGTCCCACGACGCCACGAGCGCAGTGCACGAGCGCAGTGCCAGTGGCGGAAAAGACGGGTTTCCCGACCAAAATAGTTAAACCGACCGCCACAGCATCGGCGCGCTGAGCAAAAAAGGACAGGGTTCCCGCGGATCCCGAGGACGGCTCCGTTCACATGGACCCGTCGAACCTGTGCCGTGTCGGGCGTCTCAGCCTATGATGGGCGCACGCGTCACGGTATCCGACTCGTCTGCGTAGACCCGCACGCGTGCCTCATCAAAGTCCATCGTCGCCATGTCGCCCTCCCGCATGACGCGCACGGACACGTCCGGCCGCTCGCTCGAGATGCGGCGCACGGCGTGCCCGACCTTCTCCCCCACCAGCCCCGGCCATGAGGTAGGCCCGCCCGCTCCGCGGCCCTCTGCCCCACCGCCACCCGGCTGCTCAGGCAGGCCGTGGCCTCCGCGCCTGAAGCACGACCACCAGATCGACCGCTGCAGCTCCTTGCCCGCCATCCAGCAGGAGGTGTGGCAGACAGCCGAGCTGAGCCGCGAGTCGCAGCTCTGCTGCAGCCGCTCCATGCTCTGGCCAAAGGACTGCTGCACGGACCGGGCACTTTTCGCGCCGCTCAGGAGCTGGCCAAGGCCGCTCAGCGCGTCCGCAAGCGCCTGTTCTGGGCTGTGCTCGGCGCCGCAGCCGCAAGCTGACCGCTGCGTCCAGGCAAGTGCAGCCCAGCCCACAAGGACCGCAGCGAGCAGCTTCCAGCCTGACACCGCAGGGAGCGCCACGAAGCGTGCGGCAGGCGGCGGCGGCGGTCCGCGCCGTGCAAGCCGCTCTCGGGCAAGGTCGGCGAGAGAAGCGTTGTCGGCCATTATGCGCGCAAAAAAAATCAGATCGCCGCGCTGTTACAAGCACTGCATCTCTGTGCCCCTGCGTCTCTCCTGCACGCGCACAGAGTCCAGAGACAACCCCCACGCCGCCATCCAAAACGGCGTCGCGCCTCTTGCCCTCTGCTTTGCAGGCGGTGTGCCGCGCGCGCCGGACAAGCCGCAGATCGGTCCCTCGGGGTCTGTGCCCCTCTCGGTCGTAGACGAGCAGTCCTCGCGACTGGACACTGAAACCGGTCCCTAAGAGAACTTAAATGGAATGTACACCACTACATACATGTACATGTTGGAAGCCAGTGTTGAGACCGCGGCGCCCCCTGTGGCGTCCCGGTCGGAAGCTCCGCGCTTTTACTGCTGCGCCGCGACAAGCTGGAAGTAGACGCCCTTGGGGCCGATTTGCAGGAGCTCGTCGTGCGACCCTTGCTCGACCACCTGCCCGCCCGATATAACCGCGATCTTGTCGGCGCTGCGAATCGTGGAGAGGCGGTGGGCGATCGTGATGGTCGTGCGCTTCATCTTCGACATGATTTCGTCGAGCGCCGCCTGCGGTCGCAGGAGGTTGCGGGACATCGCGCGAGATCGCGCGCGGGGGGGAGGGGCCGCGCCAGTTCGCCTGCACGATCTTCTCGCTCTCGTTGTCGAGGGCGCTAGTCGCCTCGTCGAGCAGCATGATGGCGGGCTTGCGCACGAGCGCGCGCGCGATCGCGACCCTCTGCTTCTGGCCCCCCGAGAGCCGTCCGCCGCGCAGGCCCACCTGAGTGGCGTACCCGTCGCCGAGGTCGTTTATGATGAAGCCGTGCGCGTTTGCCTGCTGTGCCGCCTCCTCGATCTCGCCCTCCGTCGCGCCCTCCCTGCCGTATCCAATGTTTTCGGCGACGGTGCCCTCGAAGAGCACCGGCTCCTGCCCGACGACACCAATCTGCTGCCGCAGCCAGCGGAGGTTGAGGGTGCGGATGTCGACGCCGTCCAGCATCAGAGTGCCCGCCTGCGGGTCGTAGAAGCGCTGGAGCAGCCCGATGATGGTGCTCTTGCCCGAGCCCGACGGGCCGCACAGCGCGACCACCTGGCCTGCCGCAATCTCGAGCGAGTAGGAAAAGCTTGTTCAGCCTAACACACACAGCACACATAGGGGCACTAATATGCAATTCCTCGGGGTTTCTGGGACTCTGGGTGTGCTAGTGACGTCGCTATCTGACGGCATGTCTGATGGGGGAGGACGGCAAAATTCTTTTTGTGGCTAAAGAAAGAAAGAAAACAGACACGCCAAACGAGGGATGGGACGAAAAAAAGAAAGAAAGAAACCACACAACCCAAGGGAGGGATGGGAGAACGGCACGCCGCCACCACACAGGGATTTTAAGGAGAGGAGAGTGTGATGCGCTAGCCGTCGCCCACCCTGGGGAGTCTGCCTCTTCGTATCTCTTTTCGCAGTCTCTCGCCGCTTCTCGCTGCAACCTTCATGCCACCTCGGATGGGACGAAAAGAAAGAAAGAAAGAAAACAGACAACCCAAGGGAGGGATGGGAGGACGGCACGGATGGGACGAGGCGCCGTGGTCAAATGCGTGCAAAATTCTTGTTCTGGTATTAGGCGCGGCCACATTCACGTGTGGGATGCTAGTCTCGTACTCCGACAGCGAGGGGGAGGAGGAGGAGTCAGCCCCTGCTCCTCCGCCTGCCGCCTCCTCCTCCTCCGCCGCCGCTCCCTTTGGCAAGCGCGACGTGAGCCTCAACGCGCTTCAGCGCACGGGCCAACTCGGCGCGAGCGGAGCGCCGGCGGCAAAGCGGCAGGCCTTGCCATCGGGCTTCTTCGAGGTGGCGCCCCCGCCGGAGATGGAGCCCGACGCGAGCGGCGCCGACATCCCACCCCCGCGAGCAGCACCGCCCCGTGCGGGCAGTGCCGCTCCGGGCCGCGGCTGGGCAGGGCTTTCGGCGCTGCTGCCGCCGCCGTCGCGCCCGGCGGCGGGCGCGTTCGCATCGGCGGACGACGTTCTCTCCGCGGTCGGCAGTGCGCCGCGTGCCACGCGGCTCCCGCCGCCAATCCACGGGGCAGGCGCGTCCGTCAAAGTGCGGAGCGATCTGTACGGGGGCGGCGGGAGCGGCGGGAGCGGCGCCGCCAGTTCGCATGCGGCCGGTGACGCGGACGCGGCTGGCGGGGAGGCGAGCTCGGCCCTCGAGGCCAGCGCCGTGACCGAGTCCTACGCCTCGTACGGCGCCGGCTTGGGCGGCGGCGGCGGCAATGGCGGCTACGGCGGCTACGGGCCGGCGCCGCCGCCAGAGCTCCCGGATGACTTCCTGGAGGCGGCCAGCAGCGGGGGCGTGGTATCGGTGTCGCAGGATGCCCTGCGCGCCGCCGGCGCCTCGCACGCGTACCAGCCAGAGCAGGTGATTGCCGAGGGCCACGCGCAAGCCTCGCCCGTCAGCACACACACCCGTGAGCCAGAAGTCTTGCCGGCCACTGTACCAGAAGTCTTGCCGGGCACTCCCAAGCCGTGGTCTCTGCCGCTGCCACTGACGCCCTCAACCCCCCCTGCTGGCTAACGCCTGCCTGTCCGCCCGCCCGCGCCTCCCAGGCGCCGCAGGAGGTCAAGATCGCAGCCTCGTTTTGGAATCGCAAAACAGGGGCGGTCGAGGCGTCGGGGGGCGGCGTCTCACGGCTGCAGAAGAAGAAGCACCAGATCAACTCGCTGGCCGCGGCGGCGCAGACCAACTCGGCCTCGCTCGCGCAGATGTCGGCGCAGGTGATGCTTTGCGAGACACCGCACTCAAGAAAGAACCCACCCGAGCTCTCCGCTAATAAAGGTCTCGGCCCTCACCCTCTCGCCCGCCCCCGCTCGCCGTCTCACATTCTGACGTCCTCATCCGCAGGGGCGCAAGTCGAAGGCAGCAACGGCCGCAAAGTACGGCTGGTGAGAGTCATCGAGAAACAGTGGCGGCGGGGGGGGGGGGGGGGGGGGTTTCCTCTGCCCTCCCGCGGGAAAAAATTTTGCGGCCCAACGCCCTGGCCTGCGCCCCACACGCACACTGTGTATCACTAGATCAGAGACTGTGACACCCCGCACACGGCCCACGCCGCCGGCGCCGCGCCGGCACGTTACCGCGATGTGTGTAACTACCAGTCGCCCTCGCAACCGTATTTTTACCATACATGTGAGCGTGTGTAGATGCAAAAATGCGAGGCCGCGCCCACGCGAGGGCACACGGGGCCCAGGGCAGGTGCGGCCAAATGACGAGATCGAACATGTCACCCCGCACGGCGCGCGCCCCCGAGCCCGACCCGCTGCGCGCCCCCGCGCGGTGACGTGTATGTGTCGACTCCGCCAGCGCGCCACCGCTCACGGCTCAGAATCGTCGTACGAGTAAATCCCGGCAGCCACAGCCAGACCGCACGGTCACGCGCGCCACCAAAGCTGCGGGCCCGTCGCCCACTAGCTGTCGCCCTCGACCTTTTGCTTCTTCCACTTTCGCGCCATGTCGAGGATCTTGAGCGAGGGCGCCGCCGCCTCCTCCTCTGCAAAGATGTAGTCGTAGTACTCCTCCCACCCCGCCGCCTCGCCCTCTTCCCCCAGCACTGGCCGCCGCTTCTTGACCCGCTTCGGCATCTTCGCCTCCACTGAAGCGAGCGCCGCCTCCGAGCCGCCGCGCGCGAGCATGTCCCGCCACGCCTAATTCGGAGCCCCCCCCCCGGAGAGGTCTCGGAAGCGTGCCCGACGTCGAGCGCTTGGGGGATCTCGGGCCATCTCGGGCCATCTCGGGCCATCTCGCGCAATCTCGCGCACCTCGAGGACGAGCACTCTCTCGTCCTTCTGCCCGGACTCGCGGAACGACGCCTCCGCCTCTGCGTACACGGCGGCCGCGCGCTCGCGCGCCGCCTCGCCCTCGCCCTCGCCGCCCGCCTCGACCTCCATCGTCGCGAAGGAGAGCCACACCTTGACGTGGCGCGTGCTTAATTAGTTACTAATTAACTACTAATTAACTACTAATTAAGAGCCACACCTTGACGTGGCGCGTGCGCGCGAGCAGGCGGCGGTAGAGCGCGCGCGCCTGTGGGCGGGAGGGGCGTGTGAGGAGCCGCCGTCCACGGGCGGCGCACACGCGCGCGCCGCCGCCCCGCGCGCGCCTTGTCCCACTCGCTCGCTCCAATCTCAAAGTCGAGGTACGCCTTCCACAGGCTCTCCGGCATGTCCAGCTGCTCCTGCCCCACTGCCAGCTCGAAGATGGCGCGGCTGCGCGACGCCTCCCCCAGCGACGCCTCCAGGTCGGCGTAGGCGGCCCACGCGGCGCAGTTGGAGGGCGACCACTCGAGATAGCGGCCTGTGGGACGCGTGCCGTGGTGGTCGTGCGGCGTGCCGCGCAGGCGCGCGACCAAGGAACGTGGTGAGAAGGGGAAGGGGCTGTCGCGCACCGTAGAGCTTGCGGCACCGCTCGACGTCGCCGAGCTGCAGCTCAAGCTGGACGTACTCCTTGAACAGCTTGTCCTTCGGGCAGCGGCCGATCGCCTGGCCGAGCAGCTTGCGCGCGGCATCCAGCCGCTTCTGGCGGACCTGGTTGTGTGGGCGGGCGCGTCTCGGTAGGTTGTGGGCGAGCCGGGGGGGCAGGAGGGGGGGCACAGGCCCACGGCCGCCGCCTCTCTCGGAGGTGTCTCCCCAAGAGGACGCTTGGGGGCTCGGCGGCTGATCTCGCGCCTCGAGGTGCGCCGCATGCACCCATAGCTTGGCAAAGGTGAAGTGCTCGTGCGGAACCACGCGGCGCGCCTCAGCCAGCACCGCGGCCGCGCGCTCCGCGTCGAGCGCAGTCAGCTCTTCGAAGATGGCATACTTGAGCCACAGGTAGATGTACCGCCGCCACAGCCGCTTGTCCGCCGCCGGGGGGACGTTGGCGACGGCGCGCTCGTACACGTCCCGCACCCGGTGGTAGTCCGCCTCGGCCTCGATCGCGCTCTCCTCGAGGCGCGCGTAGTCGAACCAGACATCGTACGTGTGCGGGTCCGCCTTGACGGCCTCCTCGTACGCGAAGCGCTTGCGCGTGACGACGACATTTTCGATCCCGCGCCGGTCGCCCGTGCTGCTTCCTCAACTGCACGTACTTTTT